TATAACCCAATACGTAGTGGGAACGTAGCATACTCTGGTAGGTTTAGGTTGTAGATAAAATTGTCTAAGCCAGTATTCTTGAGATTATATATAGCCATATAAGGCAAAATTTAACATCTAATAAAGATACGAGGCAAGACCTCACCTTAACACCAAAAAAAAAAAAAAAAAAAAAAATAGGTATAAAAAATATTTTTTAAATACTAGTTAGCCTATACAAACTTAATAAATTAGTTTTTATAATCTAGTCAAGTCAAATTTTGTAAAAATTTTTGACTATATTTACTATTTAGATAAAATTTTTTTAGAAATTTATATAGTAAAATTTTTATATACTTTTTATATATAAAAATTTTTTAAAAATAAAATTAAAAGCCAAATTACTAAGTTATTTTTCAAATTTTATATTATAAGAACTAAAAAATTAATTTTGTATAGCTTTAATAAAAAAATTTTTATTTTACTATATACTAATTTTAATTTATTTATTTAAACTATTAAAATAAACAAGATTATTAATATATAGATTTATATAAATCTATATTAGATTTATAAAATTTTATAAAATTTAATAAAACTTTTATATAATTCTATATAAAAATTGAATTTAACTAAATTTAATTTCTGGTTAATATTATAAATTTTTAATCACCTACTATTTATTATAAATTTTTATTTTAATTTTAAATTAAAATTTGAATTAATATTATAAAAAGAGTTAAAGTTTAGAGTTAAAGTTAAAGATAGGCTAAAATAAAGTTTTTTATAGTACTGAATATTTTTACTTAATATATCAACTATAGTTATTAGGGTGTGGCGACATAGCGAAGTGGTCAAATTGTCACCTCCCAAGTAGCAGATCAAGAGTTCGAATCTCACTAGTGATGAAAATTCTAAAATTTTGCTTGTATTATGGCTAACTATATTCGATGATCAGTTGGAATAGAATACCTGTAACTACGATCACACTAGCAAAACTGGAAGGTCTGGAGCATTTGTGTAACATAAGGTTATATAAAGGAATACAAACTGATAATAGAGCAATGCAAATACAAGATAAGCCTCTGGGCTATATAAATCCAGAGAACTGCGAATATGAAAGCCCACTTGGCAAGTTCTGAGTAGAAAAATAGTACAGATCTTTGACGGAGCTGCTGTAAAGGTTAGACCCAGAAAATGGAACCTATGTGAACTGAACTGGATGAAATATAGGGTATAGGGGTTATCAGAAAAAAAAACAGAGAGTTATATATCGATTGGTAACCAAAAGATATATAACGATATAAATTACTACTGCCGATTTATAACAATTGTAATACTAATTGATATATAATGAAAAGAATATAAATCGATATATAACCAAAGCGATTATAATCGATATATGATCTAAACAATTAGAATTGTGTTAGGTAATTTATCAATTATAATCGCTTAGGTTATATATCGATTATAATTGATAGATGGCCATAAGCTGATTATAATCAATATGTACTGCTATACTCATAATATTAGAATCAATATACACAAATCATTATATTAAATATTACAACGATTCACTTTTATATTTATCAACTTAAAGCGAATAAAATTTATATATTTAAATTGAATACAATTTATTTTATATATATGAGATACATTTTGCATGCAATATATAAAAAATTACAAAAAAAACAACACCACTAAGAGATCCCAAACAATTCGTTCTGTGCATCCTGTGAAAGAATTAAAGAATTACTTTAGGACGGAGGAGTTGTATTGAGGTCAGGTTTAGTGTTGGAATTGGCCTGCGTTGATTGCATTTGTGTTGATTGTTTAGCTTCGTAAGAGCCTGAAACAAGCTTATTATTAATGATTGTGTTGGCCGATTCTTGATTAGAACCGCTGTTATCAAAGTCATTCTAGTATAATAAAGGTTAATATTCATTTTGTAGTTACAATCGATATGTTACAAATACTTACCAAATAGCGCACCATGTGACACTTAATTCGACTTTTGCTACAGATAAGATTTTTCGATTAGGGATTCAATATAATATCACACACGGCTAGTGTGAAGGCACAATGATGGTTTGTGAGAGTAGAGGCAGCAGCCATGCTAAATGCAGTTCTTGCAATAATTGCAACCCAAAAAACGCCTTTATTATCTTGTTTATAGAGTGCACAATAGCAATCGTACACTTTTTGGCTTTGCTTCCACCTTACTATATCCTTAGCACTAATATTGCTTCTGAGACGAGGAAGTCTTTCACGACCAAATATACTCCAAATTGCCAAATGTATGTTCTGTAATGCTGAATCACGCAGGTTCTTTATTTTTTGTAAGAGCTATTGGAAATTAAGCACTATAAAAAATGCTTAGACCTATTGAAAATGATTGATAATGATATAAAATGATATACACAGGTGTTAAATATTATTGCTTATCTGAGAATACCACATACCATAGAACCAGTTTGCAAAATCGTTAGCACTTAAGTTCACCATAAATTCAGAGAACTTTTCGTTCAAGTAGTCCTTGAGGGACTCTTTTATTTCATCTTGGGTGGGATATATTACACATGGGAAAAGGCATTTGACAATGCTAATATATACTTTCTGCAAAAATATAAAACCAAAAGCGCTCAAAATATGCCAAAAAAAAGTGCTCAGAATATGCCAAAAAAAAAAAGCACTCAAAATATGCTCTTGCTTTCTATAATACTTACGTCCCACACTTTAGGCAAAAGATCCTCGCCTTGAATGCCTTGAGTGCCTTGAACGTTTCTGTATCGTATTTCATTTCTCAGATCTTGAAAATCGTCACTTAACTGCCTGATCAGGAGGTATATTTGGCAGTTTTGAGCAAAGAGATGTTCTCTGTCCTCAGCTTCATAATGACGACAACTTGAATGAGCTCAAAAAGGTAATAAAAAAAAAAAAGTTTCAAAAAAAAAAAAAAACTTTTTATACTATCAAGATTATGTGAATAATTTTGATTAGAAGATTGACGATTAGGTGATGCCAATCTTCCACGTGTTTGCTGTGGCGATGATAATCATGATGCATAAGAAGTAGGTTGAGAAGGCGATAGTTGCCTAGAATAAGTTTGCTAGACAGGTTGTCTGGAAGGTGATGGTTGCCTGGAAGAAGTTTGTTAGGCGGATTGTCTGGATTGTCTGAATTGTCTTGATTGGGTTGGAAGGGATGATTGATGTTGCCTACTTCTACCACTCATTATTGAAAAAGTATTATATGCACTTCTTATAGATCTAGTAGATTTGTCAGAATCAGAGTCATTATTATAAGATGGTTGAGATGGTTGATGAGGACCAGCAATATCATTTGAATTATAATAAGAGCGGGTTGTATGATATACTGAAGAGCAGATATTTTTTGATAGTTTTTTTTGGGATCAAATTTTCTTTTGACAAACTTCTCAAGAT